TGACCGGAAATAGTCACGTGATCTAACACGTGATCTGTGGCCTTATAAAACCGCGTACCATGCCAAGTAAAATCATATTCGCCATGGACAAGTCAGATTTCAAGGAATGCGACATTTGTCATAAGACAAGGCCTATGGCCTATTACCATCACCCAGAGGATGACTGGTTCCAGTGTCTATGGTGTATGGCCATAGTTCGCCCTACCTTCTGGAGGATTTCCAAACATAGACGGATCTGTGCGAAAAAACCGAAAGAAATCTGTACTTGTCGTCGGTCCTACTTTGATTAGACCAAGTCTGATCGCCCAAGTCCAATAAAAAAACAGCCCTTTTCAGGGCTACCTAATCAAAATAAAAGAGTTCCCTTTTCCTTGGGTTTTACCCCTTGAGATTTCCCTTTGGGATTTCCCCTTGAGGTTTTACCCTTGGGATTTCCCCTTTGGATTTCCCCTTGGGATTTCCCCCTTGGGATTTCCCCCTTGGGATTTCCCATGACGTCATCGGGATTCCCGTAGGGGTTTCCCCAATGACGTCATCTCCCTAGCAACGGAAGTCACGCATGCGCATCCTTAAACCGGATGTGACGTCATCCCTAGCAACCATTATGACGTCATCCGTTGCCTAGCAACCAAAGTTCCTAGCCCTAGCCCCCTACTACTGTACAACTAGATTGTATAGGCAGCCTGCCGACCCCCACCCCTGAGCTAAAATGGCTATAACTCGACCGATTTTGACCCGAGAGGTACAATTATCAACTCACACATCTATTTCAGTAGATAACAGAAATTCGAAATTTTTTCAAACTTTGGAGAAAATCGACTTTGAAGTTCCACCCTTGATTTCAAGAGGAAAATCGCTTATATTTTGGTTTGGGAAAAAAGTCATTTGGAGCATAGCAACTTCAGATATGTAGCTACAGTGCATATTTCAACTTTACATCTCTGATAGTTTTGGTCTTCACCCCAACCAGTGCAACGAGACTGCATAGGTAGCCTGCCGACCCCCACCCTGAACTAAAATATCTCAGATATAACAGCACAAGTTGTGGAATAAAAGGTGTCGATAACCAATCGGGTTATAATTAAGCACCACACTGTGAGTGTTTAACGGGAACAAATCAGCTTAAGACTTCTTCCAGACCATAATCATATATGAATCTCAAATTTTTTCCGAATTCCAGCGGTAAACCAGGACCTAACTGTTGTGTTTGCGATGGCCATAAAGATGCATAGTTGATTAAAACTTAAATTTATTATACATGAAATTCTTACAACAATGGCGGTCAGCCCGCCGACCTACTACAAAGTGAATGACGTCATGTGACCTCGTGCAAAGCAAGCAACCAGAAGCGTATATACTGTTTCGGCGTCACATACGTTCGAACCTAGACACAACATATTTTCCCCCCTTTTAGTTAAGCACATATATGATTAAACACTATCAATAAACACAAAGAAACCTCAGAGAAACTAAACAATTAACATCACTGTCTGTGAACGATTTAAAGTCCTATGAAATAGCATGCATTACTGTAAACACTCAATTAAACATAATCGTTCAAATAGGCAGGTCTACGCCGAATTCTTTGTGGATGATTACGAACTGGAACTACTCGATTACGATTTCGCCGATTGTTCTGATTTGGAATGTCAGGAGGAACATTGTCATTTGGTAGCACATTATCGAAATTATGGTAAAATGGATATTGATCATTTTCTTCGTGATCGTGGTTTTGGTAAGCGCGTATACATCTTCTTGCGTTCCAACAGCTACCATCACTTAAACGAAACGATGACTTTCCTAGGCGTTGAGTAATAGATTTC